GGCCCGCCTGGGGCTGCCGCCCGCGCCTCGCCCTGGTCCGTCCAGGTGAGCCTCGGAGGGCGAGGGAGCGACGCTGGGGGGCGGGAGAGGGCTTGGCGCGGTTGTTTTGGGGCGGCTGGCAGGTGTCGCGGGACAGGGGAGGACGCCCGAGAGGAGGAGGCGGCCGCGGCCAGGGCGACCCCGTCACCGGAGTCAGCTGTAGGGTCTCCTCCCGACCTACCGAGGAAGGAGGGCTCGGCTCCTGGGAGATCACCCGGCCCTGGAGATCCAGGTCGGGGACCGACATTCGACATGTCCTAAGGGCGACTCTATATAATGGCCACCGCGGCGAGGGAGAAGGGGAGGAGGCGCCGGGGCCGCCTTGGAAGGGGTGTCTGGGCAAAAGCCTTCCAGCTCGACGCAACTGTTGCCTTTGGATCCCGTTTGGGGCGGAAAGAGAGCGAGCGAGAGACTAGCCGCTCAGCTGGTTCTGGCTGTCGGCCTTTTTTTCCACCCACCCTTCGCCTCACTAGAGAATTCTTCCCGAAAACGACAAAGTTCCTGGGACAAAAAAAGAGAGAAAGACAGAGAGAGAAGAAAAGGGGGAGAAAAAAAGGGGGGAAAGGAGGCGTGGTGGGGTGCTTTCTGAGCGGTGGGCTGCACCTGATCCCTGTCTCGACTGCACAGCTCCGCTTGACTCTGGGAACAGTTGGGACGTCTGTGCGGCTATTGTCCAGCGGGTGGACTCGGGGCAGCGGCTGGGGACAGGTGGAGGGGGTGGAGACCCCCCGAAAGGGATCGATCCTGCCCTGGATGAAATAGTTCCTGGCAGCTTGCCTCGTCTGAACCGGCCCTTTTCCTCCTCGCCTTCGCCCTCTCGGTTTTCTTTTCTTTCTTTCTTTTTTGAGCACTGCGTTCTCTGTTCCGGCTCTGCCAGTCCAATTTCCTTTGGCTCCTAATCTCCTTACTGCCCTCAGCACGAATATAAACACGTTACATAATGCAATTTCAGACGGTAAATCTCATTGTAGTGGAGATGTGGAGAGAAAATTAAAAATTTTCTAGTTTCGGAAAGCTTTGTAAAATCCATTCCGTTAAGAGGAATGTGGGCCGACCGAGAACAGGGAAAGGAATATACCTGGGCGATGTTTGGAAACTAAATCTGTTTAAGTCAAAGCTAACGTTTCCGTTGATTTTAACCATGTTTTTATTCAAATGCTCCCTACACACCATAAAGACAGAGGCGTCTTTGTACGTTCCCTCTAAAATCAGTAAAAATCTGTATCACTGATACTGAAATCAGTGTCACTGTGTGAACTACTGCCTTCTGAGTGTGTTCAGGATTGTAGCACCAGGGAGTCTTTTGAGGACCACTCCCCTCCCCTTAAGTCTCCGCAAGCTTTCCAGATCTAGCTACCCCCCCGCTTTCTCTTGACTCCCTCTCCTATGTGATCTTCCCTGTGCCCAGGCTCGCCAGAATGACCAAATCCTACAGCGAGAACGGGCTGGTGGGGGAAGCGCAGCCTCCCGGGCCCCCCAGCTGGGCCGACGAGCGCTTCGGGTCCCAGGAGGAAGAGCGCGAGGCCGACAAGAAAGCGGCGGACCTGGAGGCGAGGCGCGCGGAGGCCGACCCGCTGCGGAACGGCGGGGAAGACCTGGAGGAGGACCTGGAGGAGGACGAGGACCTGGAGGAGGACGAGGACCTGGAGGACCTGGAGGACGAGGAGCCCGAGGAGGACGAGGAGCCCGAGGAGGACGACGGCCCCAAGCCCAAGCGGCGCGGCCCCAAGAAGAAGAAGATGACCAAGGCGCGCCTGGAGCGCTTCCGGCTGCGGCGGATGAAGGCCAACGCGCGGGAGCGCAACCGCATGCACGGCCTGAACGCGGCGCTGGACAACCTGCGCAAGGTGGTGCCCTGCTACTCCAAGACGCAGAAGCTCTCCAAGATCGAGACGCTGCGCCTGGCCAAGAACTACATCTGGGCGCTGTCGGAGATCCTGAGGGCCGGCCGCAGCCCCGACCTGCTCTCTTTCGTCCAGAGCCTCTGCAAGGGCCTCTCGCAACTTGTTTCAATTTTATATAGATTTTTACCTCTCTTTTTTTGTCTGTGCGGTGATCTAATGCTAAATTAATGCAGCAATGCACTGGTAAGGTGATCTAGCACTACTCAATAGTTTGCTTAAAAATAATACTCAACTAGGTAGGAGGATTATGTGTGTGTGTGTGTTCCTATCGTCCCCAAACATCATGCCCCAACTTCCTACAAGAGACAGAATAGTACTTCATCTTCTGCTTCTAGCTTTATATTTTATGTGCCTATTGGCCATTTGGTGTGAGGTACACGTGTACAATTGTCTGTTATGTTCACACACAATAAATGTGCTTCCTCTCTGACTCTAGGTTGTCATATTGCCTGGCTAGCTTTGTTTTTGGACTCAATTCCCTAGATACCTATCACATCTATTTCCACAGTCAGCTGTGCCAGAAACAGTTCCAGGTCCCAACCATTGCATGCCCCACCACAGTGTCAATTCACATGCACATGTCCTTGTGACAGCAAGGGGCCCTGCCCCTTGGTCTCTGGTTTTGGGACTGAAATCTCAAGGATTGGTATGCTGCTATTCTAGCAATGCTATGTACTGTAGAGAATATTCTGGACCCTAGAGGAGAATCTACGAGAGCCTCGGGCCCTTCGACGGGGCGGCCCCGCACGAGCGCCTAGCGGGAGCCCAACTCCACGCCCTCTTCCACGAGTGACGCCGCCGCCGCCACCACCGCTGCTGCCTCCAGCAGCCCCCTTCCCGCCGCCCCGCCAGCGCCCCGGAGCGGCGTCCTCTTCGCCGCCTTCGGAAGTGGCCGAGCTCCCCTTCTGGCACCTCCCGCCGCCGCTCCCCGGTTCCCGGTCTCAGCCTACCCGGGCTGAGCAGAAGAGATGCAGACGACCCTTCCTATTTTTCCCTCCGCCCGCCCTCACCCTCTCCCATCTCATCGGCACAACAAAAATCGCGAGCAATAATTTGGATCTATGCAATGTGTTGATTTTTTTTTTAAAGGAAAAATAAAAACCCTAGTCACGGGCCAGTTACAAAAGGAATAATAATGCTGGAAAAAAAGTTGGGGGAAAAAGTATATATCAAATTTCTATTTTTCAATCAACATTGTTTTTCCTACTTGCTACCTTCTCCCATGCTGAATTATTTTGTTGTGATTTTGTACAGAATTTTAATAACTTTTGATAAAACTATTTTAAAACCATGCAGCTTCATCAATTTTTATACGTGTTGGAAACAAAGTAGAATTCTATCTAATTTATACGAGATAATTTAAGTAATTTAAACCAGCAGAAAAAGTGCTTAGAAGAAGAGAGAAACGTCATTCTGTTGCCTTAGCACCTCTCTCCCATCGGATGTCCTTTTAGGTCCCGCACACCCCCACCCACACACACTGCAAGAAACCAGCGATGCGTTTCTTAGGAAACCTGTCCTGTCCTTACCAGCTCTCTATGTTTTTCCCTCAGAGGATGGAAGAACCTTTGATTTTCGATTACAACGTACAAACTAGCAAAAACTGGTGTACATATTCATCCGTGTTGTAAAGAGCAAATACTGACCCTCTTTTCCCCCGAAATCAACAACTGCTTGACTATCACATTCAGTTTGAACTGTTTCTTGGCCATCTTTGGATCCTACCCCTTTGCGTGGTGCGATTCTGAGGGGCGGGGAGGACAAAGATAACTTGAAAACAGTAGAGTTTCCAGACAATGTTAAATGCATGATTTCTTATATGTAGGCACATGAATCCACGATTTTGTCATATTTACCGTCCAGAAATCGAAAGCGAATCAGGTTTATGATGGTTTGGTTATATAATAAGCCGATTGTAGTCAGTAGATTCAAACCAATCCAAAAACCATTTGACTTCGTAATTAGAACAATATAGTTATGCATGTCCAATGCAATCCGGAATAAGTGCTGTTCGAAATGTAAACGCGGGTTCAACTGAAATCAATCTGTACTGTAATTCTGTTCGTAACCCTGTATATGACCGTGTGATGCACATTTTGGGATTGTAGGAAACCACCTTTGCAACAACGTAGTAAGAAGTCGGTCCAATGTTGCATTTTCTTTTTAAGTGTGACCCCCCCACCCTCCTCCATTCCCTTAGTGCAAACAATTCCTATGGGATTACTGTAACCGTTCCTAAAAGGTGCAACTGCTATTATTTGTACAATAAAATGGAGTTTTCAAAAGTATGTCCGGGTGCGATCTAATAAAGCCCTGGGGCTGGAAGGAGGGAGGGGGACGGTGGGAGATGATCGAAGCGCTGGGCTGTAGGGCATGGAGCTGCTGAGCTGGGCGGCCCCGCGAGTGAATGTCGGCAAGTATGGCCGCTGGCGATAGCGGAGCGTCCTTCCGGTCCTGGGGAAGTCACACGGATTCGCTTAACCGGCCCGGCGAGGCTGCGGTGGAGCTGTCCAGCTCCGAAGTGCTGAAATACCTCAACAATGAGGTACCACAGAGAAAGCTGTTCAGTTGACTCTCCGTCTGCCGTGACTTTCAAGGAATTCCTTCTTTGACTCCAACAAGAGGTCACACCGCATTGACCCCACAGAACTTTCTTTTTGCCCAAGGTAAGGAATTGGGGAGCTGGGCATGGTTATTTCGTGGAGTAGGAAAGGCACAGGATTTGGCTCATCTTTCTTTAGACTCTTTGAACTGAGCTAGGGCACTCAGGACAAGTGTTGTAGCTACACCAACATCTTTCTGCATCTGTATTTTCAACTGAAGCAGGGTGGGTCGTCCTTCTTGGAGAATATAATGGTCCCCTCCTTTTGCACCTGAGCCTTCCCAAGAGTACGGCAGTGTATGTTCATGGGTGGTCGAAGTTCAGAACTTTGTAGGTGATATGCCCTTCGCTTCCTCTTCCCTCTGATTGAAAAGCAAACACACCCCAGTATTTCCCAACCCAAAGTATTCACCTTGGTGCTTTTATCCAAAACAACATGGTTCTCTGGTTATTGTATGGTAGATGGATGTAGACAGAAGCAAACCCTGTCCTTTGCCCATCCCAATTATTCTTGGACTCATTAAGCAGGAGACCTCTGGTGCTTCTTGGGAATTCTGTCTCCTATTCAACAGAACCCCTCTCTTAGTCCTAATGAAATTGCACCCTTATTACTGTTTCTTCTCTAGATTATGCGTTGGTTCTGAAATTTCTGCTGCCAAAATTTGGTGAGGTGTGGGTGATGATCTTCTGGAGAAAGACAGGAAATTCTTCCCCTCTGCCTGGGCTGGCAGCAGCATGGAGACTCCAGGATTTCAGGCACATATTTACTTTTGCCTTCCTTTTTCACTTGGCCCTTTTGCTTCAATTAATAGTTGTTGTTACTAAATTTCTAGAGAATCAGGGATCTCAAACATGCACAATGGTCCCAGTCCAGGGAAGGCAGTATTTATTTAATGCATACCCCCAAAAAGAACCCAGGGTAAACTTGTTGTTTAGTCATTAAGTCATGTCTGACTCTTCGTGACCCCATGGATGAGAGCACACCAGGCCCTCTTGTCTTCCACTGCCTCCTGGAGTTGGGTCAGATTCATGTTGGTCACTTTGATTACTCTGTCCAACCATCTCATCCTCTGTCGTCCCCTTCTCCTCTTGCCTTCACTCTTTCCCAACATCAAGGTCTTTTCCAGGGAGTCTTCTCTTCTCCTGAAATGGCCAAAGTATTGGAGCCTCAGCTTCAGGATCTGTCCTTCCAGGGAGCACTCAGGGTTGATTTCCTTCAGAACGGATAGGTTTGTTCTCCTTGCAGTCCAGGGGACTCTCAAGCACCACAATTCAAAAGCATCAATTCTTCAGTGGTCAGCCTTCTTTATGGTCCATCTCTCACTCTCACAGGGTAGATTACAATGCAGTTAAAAACGGCTGCAATTAAGAACACAATTAATTAAATAAAAATGGAATTAAACATACAGTACAAACATATTAAAACAACTGAATTAAAACAGTTTAAATCAATCTTGAAGTATATCAGTATATGTAAAATAATTTTTAAAAGTAAACATCCTCCATTAAAATCTCCTTCCCCACTCGCCTAAAGATTGCTTGGATATTAAGGATTTCGCCTGCCAAAGGGAAGACAGCAGGGAGGGGGTCAGGCTAACTTATCTTGGAAAGGAGTTCCACAACCTGGCAGCAACCACTCATATGTCACATAGAAATCAATGAGATCATATTTGGCCATAACTAATCTGTCAATTGGTTTCAGCACAACATAAGCATGGCTAACCTTCTTCAGATTGGGTGTCTGTTTCACCGATGTACAAGAATGGCTCCTCTGTAACAAGGCAACTGGTGCTGTCCACTGTGTGTTTGCTCTTTGTACCTCTGACGAGACGTCTGCAGTGATTGTGCCATATTAGTTAACACTTGTTTGCTGTTGCATAGTGTGTGAAATGACCATTGGTACCATGGTTTGGTAGGCACTGTTGCTTACACAGAATAAGAGCAACACAACCCAGGGAAAATAAAAAAAAATCAGCTAAGGCCAAGAGCTGAGTGAAGTATAAACATCCTGGGATCAGGTCCTGCACTCCACTCAGCCTTCTTTCTCTCAGTATAGTTTCATTTGGAAGACAGCAACACATCTGTCAGGATCAGGAACAATTTATGGAGCTACCTTTAGCTAAGATGACCACCTTAAAGTCCTATATACAAATATCATACGAGGGTCTGTCTGGTTTCTCATTACACCCTAGTTCAATACCGCATGGACCTTAAGAGCTGGCTACCATGCGTTAGCTTAACTCTGTTGTGGATGACTGTAATTAGTTTGCAAGTATGCTCAAGTCAGCAGATCTGAACCTGCTCACTTGTAATAAATTGCTCCTGTATTGCTCAAAACACCACATGGGGGGGGTGCAACAGGGTCACACTGTTCAAGCACAGAGGCTCCGATGTTTGACAAAACATGAAGGGAATATATTTCATTTAATAATACCAAGCATGTGCAGAAAAAGCACAGAGTGTGGTACTGTACTCCTCTAGAACTGAAACTCTCTTCTTTTCTTGACTGGAATCCACTGAGGACTATGTTGCAGAGATTTGAATTTTGGTTAAGTTCCTCTAGCTGCACAGCAGAAGTGCAGGGTTTTGCAGAGCAGAATAGTTTCAAGTTCCCCAGAGTAGACCACCTCTTTCCCATTATTGGGCACTTACAATCTCAGTGACTAACTCTGAGGCATTAGTAGGCTAAAGAATAAAAAACCATTTTCTTCATTTGCAGTAGTGAACAGGTCACACAGCAAACTGACAAACACGACCGCTTTCTGCAACAGACCTCAGCAGACTCATTGACTGCTTCTAGCATACATACTGTAAGAGAGGAAAAGAGACAGAACAGGGAGACCTCAGCAGACTCATTGACTGCTTCTAACATACATAAGAGAGGAAAAGAGACAGAACAGGGTCCCTCTTTGAATTCAGAGGCAAGGAAGGAATGCTTGGTTAGTGCTGGAGAGACTGACAATTGTAAAAGGTTGTAAAAACTCTAACAGGTGACACTGCTGCCTCTGAATCCGAGTGCTGTCACCTCAAATTCAGAGGCAGCAACAGTGGTTCTCTGAAGTGTACCGGAACATTGTAAATGTGCATAGGATAGTGCACTTCCTTTCTAGAAGGACGTATCTCCTTCCCTTTTGTGTTGGCAGCCATTGGTGGCAAATGAGGGTCAGAAGAGGCCAGAAAAATTATCTGGGAACACATACTGCCCATCCCAGTAAGCAGTGGATAGGGCCAGGGTGTGCTGCAGCTACTTCTGCAATGCCGAAGAAATATGTTGAGGTGGAGTATACTTTCTGGATACCGAAAGACAATCAAAATCTCAGCTTCATTCCTTCCCCTATCAGGAGAGACTGAAAGAAATGGGCATGTCCTCACTGTTAGATCATATGACAGTGAACCAATGACCTTGAGAGGTCATGAGTGCTCCAGTACCGTAGGCATTCAAGAGAAAATTGGACAACCATCTGTCGGACATATGGCTGTCTAATTTTCTCTTGAATGCCTTCAGCGATGGATCTCTTACCACCTCGTGGGGAAATTGGCTCCATAATCATACTGCTCTAACAGTTAGGAAGTTCTTCCTGATATCCATTGACTTGGATTCCTGCACTGAATGGGGGATTGGATTTGATGGCTTTATAGGCCCCTTCCAGCTCCATTATTCTAAATTCTAAAGTGGAATCTTCCCTGCATCGCCTTGAAGTACGGAAGCATATTTTGACCTATACAGGCGCCACTGAAAAACGTTGTCCATGAGCAGATAAATGACGAAGAACTAAAACAGAGTACATAAAATAAGAAAAATAAATTAATTCATACACCTCAGATTTCTTAATATATGTTTTGCATTATTTATTTATTTATTCAATTTTTACTCTGCCCCTCTAGACAACGTCTACTCGGGGCAGCTTATATAGGTTGCAGTTTGTCTCCCTGGTATGCAGTTATTACCTTTCATCTACAGTAGTTTGTTTTTTTTTAAAAGCAAAGAATATTAGACAAGCGAGGGATTTGCCTTGGGTGGCAGATACTTGGGTTGGTGTTCAATTGTTTGAAAGCAGGCATGTATATAACATGGCCTGCCCTGTGTTTCCTAAGCAAACCCGTTGCTTTCAGGTGCCCTGGTGGGGGCTGTTCCATGGCAAATGATCAGGAAAAGTTCAGTTCCTAGTCAAGTCTGCTTTTGTGCACAGATTGTTCTTTGACTTGGGTAGCAAAAGATATTAGGATAATCTCGGGTATGGTGGTGTTAAGGTGGTACTTCCATATTCACCTACTGATGTGAAGGAAGGGCAGATTTTACTAGCTAGAAACCGAGTTAATGCTGCTTCCTGCCTGCCTGCAATGCAGAAACCTGCTAATCAGGAGTCCTTTCTAGCACCGGTAGCTGAGGGAACAGAAAAGCAGCTCTTAGCCGTCTCTTCTTTATGCTTAGCAACTAGGAAATGAGATACGTAGCCAGGTTTCACACTGAGAAAGAAAGCATAAACTCAACCCCATGTTATCTCCTCTTTTGTCCCTGAGTCAGGAAGGGCTGATCGTTTTGTTTCTGTTCCTTTTCGGCAATAACTTAACCAACGTTTTCAAGTTTCTTCAAACTAGGGATGGAAAGACTTTGGGGATTTGAGAGATGGAAATAATGTGAGC